CAGAAAGATTTCATCAGTTGACACATTTTTGATATCTTTAAGAGGAATCGAGATAAATAAGGTAAAACTTAACAGTGTGGGGGACTCTTGTATTACAGTCTCTTGTATTACTTTCACGGTAGATGGTATGATTTTGGAGAATCACAGAATCTCAGAATCTCAGAATCTTAGAATCTCAGAATCTTAGAATCTCAGAATCTCAGAATCTCAGAATCTCAGAATCTCAGAATCTCAGAATCTCAGAATCTCAGAATCTCAGAATCTCAGAATCTCAGAATCTCAGAATCTCAGAATCTCAGAATCTCAGAATCTCAGAATCTCAGAATCTCAGAATCTCAGAATCTCAGAATCTCAGAATCTCAGAATCTCAGAATCTCAGAATCTCAGAATCTCAGAATCTCAGAATCTCAGAATCTCAGAATCTCAGAATCTCAGAATCTCAGAATCTCAGAATCTCAGAATCTCAGAATCTCAGAATCTCAGAATCTCAGAATCTCAGAATCTCAGAATCTCAGAATCTCAGAATCTCAGAATCTCAGAATCTCAGAATCTCAGAATCTCAGAATCTCAGAATCTCAGAATCTCAGAATCTTAGAATCTTAGAATCTCAGAATCTCAGAATCTCAGAATCTCAGAATCTCAGAATCTCAGAATCTCAGAATCTCAGAATCTCAGAATCTCAGAATCTCAGAATCTCAGAATCTCAGAATCTCAGAATCTCAGAATCTCAGAATCTCAGAATCACAGAATCTCAGAATCTTAGAATCTCAGAATCTCAGAATCTCAGAATCTCAGAATCTCAGAATCTCAGAATCTCAGAATCTCAGAATCTCAGAATCTCAGAATCTCAGAATCTCAGAATCTTAGAATCTCAGAATCTCAGAATCTCAGAATCTCAGAATCTCAGAATCTTAGAATCTCAGAATCTCAGAATCTCAGAATCTCAGAATCTTAGAATCTTAGAATCTCAGAATCTCAGAATCTCAGAATCTCAGAATCTCAGAATCTCAGAATCTCAGAATCTCAGAATCTCAGAATCTCAGAATCTCAGAATCTCAGAATCTCAGAATCTCAGAATCTCAGAATCTCAGAATCTCAGAATCTCAGAATCTCAGAATCTCAGAATCTCAGAATCTCAGAATCTCAGAATCTCAGAATCTCAGAATCTCAGAATCTCAGAATCTCAGAATCTCAGAATCTCAGAATCTCAGAATCTCAGAATCTCAGAATCTCAGAATCTCAGAATCTCAGAATCTCAGAATCTCAGAATCTCAGAATCTCAGAATCACAGAATCTCAGAATCTTAGAATCTCAGAATCTTAGAATCTCAGAATCTCAGAATCTCAGAATCTCAGAATCTCAGAATCTCAGAATCTCAGAATATCAAAATTTCAGAATCTCAGAACCTCAGAGTCTCTTAATCTCAGAATTTCAGAATCTTAGAATCTCAGGATCTCAGGATCTCAGAATTTTAGAATCTCGGAATCTCAGAATCTCAGATCTTCAGATTCTCAAAATTTTGAATGCTCAGAATATTAGGATTTTCTCCGGAATCTCAGAATTCTTGAATCCAGGGATTCCTTTGACTTTAAAATTCAAATTTTTGAGATTCTAAATAGATTTCATAATTTCAAGTTCTCAGAACTTCGAGTTTTTAAAATAATAAAGTTCAGTACTATATAGTAGAAGAGCCCCTTATTTTTTTTAAGTCTTATCCAATTTTCCTCTGGAAGATATCAAAAATTTGTCAACTGATAAATTGTTTATCACAATATCACAAACATTTTATCAGTTGAAACATTTTTTATATCTTCAACAAGAACCGAGATAAATCCGCTGAAATTAAACAGTGGGTCCTTCTATTACAACCTTTATGGTAAATGAAAAAATCCATAATTTCGCAACAAATACCAAAAATCTTGAAAATATCAATAATTAATCTTTCAGTTACTCAATTATTCTCTCTTTTTTCACCCCACATAGTTACTCCTAGAAGATGCCGCACTGAAGATAACCGACAAAACAATTAAATGTCAAAAATCGGAAGTGACACTTTCCACGGTCTCCCTAAAAAGCGTCGGCGAATTTCAAAAAGGAAACCGTCTGAACAATTATGTCCACTTTCCGGGAAGAGAAAAGTTCAAGATAGTTTGTACCGCGCGAAAAAGTGTAAGAAAAAGATAATTGGGAAACAAACAAAAAGTTTTGGAAGAGAAGAGAAAAACAGGGAAAGGAGAATTTCGGGAGGGCCGGAGAAATGGAAAAAGATCCCTTGGGACCTATTGGATGAGATTTTGGAACCATAGTTTTGGAGAGATTTTTTTCAAACTATTTCAGGAAAAAAAATTAAAGGGAGTTGAATTTGTGGACCCAAAGTTGGAGGTGCCGCGCCGCTATCGGCTGAGCTACGGTGGGGCAATTTGAGCTTATTTATCTCGGTTGCTATAAGAGATATAGAAACTTTGACAACTGTTACAATGTTTATCATAATATCAGTAATCTTTTATTAGTTGAAAAAATTGCAATAGCTCTTACAGAAATTGAAATAAATCGGCTCAAATTTAAAAGTAAGGGGCCTTGTAGTCTCCAATAGAGCGCCACCCTATACTTGATATTTGAGCTCAATTATCTCGCTTCTTGTAAAAGATATCAAAAAAATTGCCAACTGGTAAAATATTTATCGTAATATCATCAATATTTTATTAGTTAGCAAAATTTTGATATCTTTCATAGGAACCGAGATAATTGATCTCAAAGTAGGTCAATTTTGAATTATGAATTTTAGGGATTTTCAAACAAACAGACCCCTAAACATGGATATTTGTTTATTAAAATCGGAAAATTTTAAAAATCAGACACTTCTCCCCGGAGTATGCCATATGGCCAAAACATGAAACTATCTTAATTTTTCCGGTATACGGTGATCCATCATTTTGGTAGGCGTGCCACGATCCATGAATCTTCTCCCGGAAAACGATAATCCATCATTCTGTCTGATATGATAATTGTGTTGTTTCGAAATCAGTACCTGGTACCCCTACTCTACCGTACTCCCCTGTAGAAACATAAAAATTCGAAGCAGCGCGCAAAAAAAAGAAGACGTCAATCAAAGTGAACAGTGGTTCTGTGCCCTCCTGTCACCAACTAAACGTCTTCTTCTTTTTTCTCGACTTTGAATTCTGAAGAAGAAGAAGGAGAAGAAGATGTCCGTCAAACTGATTGAATCTACTGATAAAGTGTTTAGAGAAGCGCCGGACGCACAGCAGGAGGTGAACAGGTGGATACCCGATGAATTATTGGTTTTGGTTTTTCGGGGAAATAAGAAAAACTGGGTGTGTTTTTGGATAAGGGATACAGGATGGGGAATACGGTAGATATTTAAAGGGACATGGGAAGACAAGGAATTTCTTTTCGAAATCTTGTTTATATACGCCTCTCGAAAAGCTAAACTTGGGGTCCATCGCCTGAGGTGCCGCGCCGCTACCAGCTGAGCTATGGCGGCGCAAGTTTGCACATTGAGCTTAATTATCTCGGTTCCTATGAGAGATATAAAAATCTGTGAACTAATAAAATAGTGTTCACATTATGGTAAACATTTTGCCAGTTGATTGCTTTCTGTTATCTCTTCCAGAAATTGAGATAATTGAGCTCAAAGTTAACGATTCGGATGACCTTCTTTTTAACCTAAACCTAACCTTTGAGCTCAATTATCTTGGCTCATAGAGAAGATATTAAAAATTTATCAACTGATAAAATGTTCATCATAGAATCACCTATGTTTTATCAGTTAACAAAATTTTGATATCTTTGATGGAAGCTGAGATAATTGAGCTCAAAATTCAAGTGTCGTGGCTCTTTTTCATTCATGATCTCTGAAACCCTGCGGTTTTTCTTCCAAATCTTTGGACATTCTAGGATTCCTACATTTCTGGTAATTTCAGATTCCGAGATTCTGAAAACTTTAAAAGTGAAACCATGACTTCTAAACTTTCACATATTTATGAAGAAAGTGAATTGATGAGTGTGTGGGGATATAAGCTTTATATGGATTAGTCAGGTATCATTATATGGGGGTCGATTTGGAAATGTTTATGGAAAAGAAGGAGAAGGAGAACGGGTTCTCTAAAAGACACATGATAAACCGTGCCCCGAGAATTTCAAGGGGAAAAAGAGATATTTTGAATTTTCCAAACAGGGGGCGCTGATTAGCGTTGAATTCGGTGAAGATTTATGAGCGTGTGGTGCCCAATCAATTTTTGACGATCCGTTGTTTGGGAAAGGAGGAGAAAAAGATAGTGATGGGGGAGGAGGTGATAAAAAAGATTTATCAGTGAAAATTCAAACTGACAGAAGGTGACAGAAAAGGGATGGATAGATGGGGAAACAAATGACTGTGGGAAAACTGGAATTGGATAAAAATAGGTTGGAAAATCAAAATTCAAAGTTTTTTGGATTTCTGGAAAATAAAACTGTTTAATTTTTTAAAATATAAAAAAAGAAATGGATACCCCGAAGCTTTTTTCTCCGATTCAAAAGTTTCGAGAGCCCAGAATCTTGAAATCTCATATTTAGAATCTGAAAAAGTATGCTGAGAAACCAAATTCCTAAAAACTGAAAAAATGAAGAATATGTAAATCTGTAAACTGTAAAAATAGTTTTTTTCAGGATTCTAAATTTTTCGAATCTTTCAGGAAATTAAAATTTTAGAGATTCATAGTTCTTTAAATTTTTGGAATCTTAAAGTCTTTAAGGTTTAAAATTGTTTGTAATTCAACTTTCAGAATGTCAAATAATTTTGAAATTTCACAAAATGAGAATTTCGGGTTTTCACAATTTCAGATTCTTAGAATTTCAGAATCTCTAAATCTCGGAATCTCAGAATTTTAAGATTTCCGATTTTCAGAATTTCAGAGTTGGAGAATTCAAGAATTTGGAAATCTCAGAACCTTGAAATCTTGAAAATTCCTGAAATTGAAATTTAAGAATCTGTAAATCTGGAAATCGTGAGAATGTTTTTAAGGATTTGTTGTTTTTTTGCAATTTTAAATATTACAACATTTCAGGAAATGAAAATTTCCCATCTTTTCAAAATCCTAAATGTGAAATTTTCGTGCTTCAGAATCTCAGAATCCAAGAATTCAAGAATCCGAGGGTCTCTAAATCTCGAACTCTCAGAATTTCAGAAACTCAAAATTTCCAAATCTCGAAATCTCAACACCTAGGAATCTAAGGATCTAAAAATTAAAAATCTCAAAATCTCAAAAATTTTGAGCTTCAGATTCTTAGAACCATAGAATTTCAAAATCTCAGGGTTTCGAAATCTTAGATTCTAAGAATCCAAAAACCTCAAAATCCCAGAATCTCAGAATTTCAGAATATCATAATCTCGGAAGCTAAGAATCCAAGCATCTAAGAATCCAAGAATCCGAGAATCCAATAACCCAAGAATTCAAGAATCTCAGAACTTTAAAACATCAGAACATCATAATCTCAGATTCAAGAAACTTTAGGTTCTCAAAATTTTAGGATCTACGAACCCGAGAATTTCGGAATTTCGCAAGCCCAACATTCCTCAACTTTGTAACACCTGCTACTCAACGTTCTGCCTTTCTCGAAACTAGGTCATCATATCCCCTTTGCACTTTTTCAAACTTTCTCAATTCTTCATTTTTCACTTCTCTGGTTTCTTCACAAAATGACAAATCGGGAAAGCCTCGAATTCTACTCGATCCGTTCAATCACCTCCCACCTCCTCCTTTCAATAGATTTCTCAGACCACCGGTGAAGAATATGTATCGAAACCGGCCGAAATTAGACAAGGGATTTGTAGAAGGTGTGAGAATTCAGAAGAGGTTGGTTGGTTGGCATCTCACATCGTCAGCTTGTCTCCCGCAATTAGCTCGTTATCTTTGATTGGTGTCTATGTAATTCTGGGAAGATACGACGTAATCGGGCTTTGTCACTAATCTCGCAAACAGAAAAAACTAACGAAAACCCTATTGGGACCTCTAGGGGGTGGAACCAAAAAGTGCCAGCGCGAGAGCCAACAGCTTTCCCGCCTGAGCCACGCGGTGCATGTCTTGTCACGAAGCAATTGCTGTATGAGGAGCCACCGGATTGTATACGAATTTCGGGGGGTGCGCGCTCTCCCACAGAACAATTCCGAACTGCAAATTAATTTTTGATCTACAGAAAAAAAGTTTGGCGCGATCACAATTGCAGGTCTAAAACCATAATTTCAGAATTTTTTATCTGATTTTGTGGAGTTCCAAGATGATTCAAATGATTCTTAAAAAATTAATTAGTGGTTATAGATTCATGTATGGTCCTTTCCGGAAGAAAAAATGTCAAAAATGGTCATTTTTGAAAGTTTTTTACTGAAAAAATCTATCTCCTCTTTCAGTTTTTGACATTCCTAGAAGTTCTATAGCTCAAAAAAAACAGCAATTATTTTCTCTACATTTTCTATGGATGAATT